CGTGTATGGAGTTACAATCAAACGTTTGAAGAATGCCTCTGTCGCCATGATCGGTGCAATTGATTACTGTTATTCACCCGAGAATACTTCAGTCTAATCTCAAAAACAGAGTGACAATATGTTTAGTATATTGCTAACTGAACCTCCATTATTTAGCATGGCATGCTAAGATATTTCATTGTTCGTTCTTAACGTTTTGATAGAGTAAGGCAAAATATGCTCTATTGAGACCTAAAGACGAACTCCATTATAAAAGTTGAAAGCTAAACAAATAGGATACAACAAATAGTAAATGTGTCTATATCTGATGAATATAATGGTTGACACTTTGACGTGAAATCGATAGCCTTCTTGCAAATTAATTACTGCTCCCTTCATGAAAATATCTACGTCAGTAATAATAACAATAATGAAGTTTGTATACTTTAAAAATCATCAATCATCAACCACCTGCAGGCACCAGTATTGGCTAAAATTTTCATCCTTTGTGTTCCATGTTTTATTTGTAATTATCGTCCCATGATACCTAATAATACAAACACTTAAATTAATATTATCTAAACTTTCATAATATGTAAACACTACCTCTTCCCTGTAGTGTAACAAGCATTTAGAGTGACGTAATATGGAACGCTGTGTACTAATCAGAACATCTCGTGTTCCATTGCTTCGCGTCGCAAGCAGTTACTGGAACGTTTGTGTTCGCATGAACCTGACTTCCTCTAGTGTAACTCCTAGCAAACTCTAAGCGCCTCAGGTATAAAATATAGAACTTGCTGCATTTTCTACACTAAAAGCACATTTAAATAATATTTAAGAATTTGCCTGTACCTCAAAGAAAACACAAAACTTCTTCATTACAAAGGCCTCTTGGCAAACTTTCTTCAAAGAAATAAATCACACGAGACACAAAACTGCAGTCCGTTATCAAAATGTCTAGTTTCTGTTCATTAAAACGGGCGGAGCACACAGTGTACATTGGGCCATAAAATTTAAAGTGACCACTGCTTCAATAACTGAAATGGTGCAATAACCTAGAATTTGTTTTATCGATAATCCTCGCATTTGTGATTTCGAGTTACGAGGGAGAGAAAGATAAAATTGTAGAGGGGATAAAAGGATGAGGTTAGATTTGTAGTGAAAGCGAAGGACCCTGTTTTCCACGTGCAGAGAAATGTGGGCTCACACAGATCCCTCGAGACGAACCGAACCGCTAATGTTACCTATAGTCACTGGCACAGCATCTGAAGCTTGGGGTAAAATTCAACGTTGCCAGATACGGGACCACAGAATGAGGCCTAGATTCCACACCCTAACAAATGACAACGTTGCCTAGTTGGCTGCATTTTTGGTTGCCTATTAACTATTGCAAATTACAGACTTTGACAAATTTATGTTATTATCGCAACCACACTTTAGTGTAGTGTATTTTAAGTTCTGTCCATTATTTTTTAACTCTCTCTTAGTTTGTAAGATGTAGATCTGGCAAAAATGAGTAATCAGCCCAAACATTTTTGTTGTGGTCGTGGATTTGTAGTAACCGTCACCAAATTGCATTCTTCAAGGCCACGGAAGGAATTTACGCTGCGAGTTCTGAGCTGTCTTTGTCTGCATGGGCTCCCTGTTATTCATGTTATAACGATACACGATTCCTTTGTGACCCTGAAGGCTGGTGAACAAAACTTGAATAAAGGCTTCAGCGCGTGTACTATCTTTCCTTTCAGAATCGAACTATAAACCTACTTGATTCAATGTGAAACTTGTACAATTCAAATTAACGACTTGACAGATACATTTAGTAACGTCAGAAGTGATAAAGTAGTGCCACGTGGAAACGTTTTGCGGTCACAAATACAATGAAGTGATCATTAGAGACGGTATATATTTTTTTAGTCCTAAATTCGAAACAGGAAATTTGTAATGACCTTAAAGGACAGAACAAAACCAATGACATTTTGAAGACAATTTTCCTTAATATCTTAAATTCTCTTTTCATAACGTAGTTTCTCATATCAAGAGAAAATAATTCGGCTTTAATTAACATGGGTAGCCCTTTGATATTTAGTTGCACACCAAGTCAAGTTTCTGTCAGAATACTTTTAAAATGCCATCAGCGTCACTCCCCAGTGCAGGCTCCGACAATGTTAGCAGTCTCTTTTGTTATACAGGTCGTCTTCAGCTGTCATCTGCGTGACGTTGTGGAAGCTTGTCTCTATTTGAGAAACAGAAACTCGTTCTGGAGTGTCATGTGCAAATTACAACTGCAAGGACAGAGAATGTAAAATGTTAGTACGGCCGACAACATCGAAAACTCTTGATCATTTATGGAACACTACCTACTCCTGTATACCACAGAGTTTTGAATCTCAGCAAGGTGACAGGCAGCAGCAGACTATGGTCTCTTAACGCTCTTTGTATGTTTACGTGCCTTGACAAAGTGAAACAGTGGGTTCTTATATAAAGGTTCAATTCTGGTTCGGCTTGGTCACTGCGTTTAAATATGCTACATAACCGTCCATGTGCAAGGCTGAAACATATTGAAATTCAAAAACACAAAATGTCCTTATATAATAATGAATTTTGTTTTCACTTTATAATTCTTTGTTTATGTTGATCCTGCGTTTGGGTGTTTGTACAGTGGGGAAATTAAATGATCTGGGGAGCAGAGTTACACGGAGTTGTGTTGTGTTACTCAACATCCCACACTTTATATCAAATCTAAAACTTCTTGACGATGGTGAAGAGTCAATTGAATTAAAAATTTCTTGGATACTATCCATCGTCTAGTAAATATAAAACGTAAAACGACGTTTCGGAGATGGGACTCTATCTCCGTCTTCAGGTTCCTACTCAGTTGGGCCCACTAGATAGAGCTAATCCCTATCTCCGGACGAAGATAATATCAAAAAAAAATTTATTCAATTGATCCCACACTTTAGCCCTGAAGAAGGTGGCAGTATGTTCCTCTGAAACTTTAGTAACACAGACGCTCCCACATGGTGGAACACACGAAAGCATTAAAACACTTAAAGTTGCCTGCATGTTGCAGAGACTTCCTTAAGCAACGTCTTTATTAACTGCATTGTCTGTGAAATCATATAAGAGCTTCCAATCTCGCACGAAAGTAATTAATTTCTTACATGTTAAATTAGGTCTGATGACTTAAACTCTTACGCATGATGACTAACTACATGAAGTAGAATTCTTCTTGAGAATCTGATAGTGGGATTCGAACCCACGGTCCCAGCGACCAAGCGGGACAACGCCCACGCCTCAGACCGCGCGACCACTGCGGACCCCGATATATACAATTTGTAGGACTATGAGAATTTGATTTTAAATGTATTCTTTACTGTTACAAAGTGTAGGTCCATTCCGAATTTGGTCTGAAATGTGTTTTTAGCGATAGAAGTTTCCCGTAGGAGATACAAATCTATTTTCCTCCCTGACGGGAATGTTTATCAGCCATTACTGGACCGGATATCAACAGAATTCGCTAGCGAAGAGCGTACTTTATACCTGAAGAGAATTACTATAATTTTATTTTTTCCTGTGTTGCATTTGAACTTCGAGTTTCCTCCGATGGCATCAAATGATGGGTCAGGGGATATTGGACGACACCTACCGGTAGAGGAAGCTAAACAAATGTCCTCTGTGGTGAAACGGAACCTACATATTTCTCGAGCCAGAAAGGTGATCCACGCTTCGTTTGAGTTGAGGCCTGTGAAACATAGGACAGCGGCAGATGATTCTGTCGTTTGTACGCGATGCCTCCAGACTTAACACGGCGGTATATTGCAACGGAATTTAATCAATTAAGTTGCTGCTACTCGTGCCCGTCTTTCCCCCAGTAATGCAGTTACTCGTTTCCTTACAAATTGCTGTCACGTTTCCTGAAGACCGGGAGGTAGAAAGCAAAAAATAAAAAAGAATACAGCAGAGCACAGTCTTCCTGCTTACGTAAGCTTACAAAAAGGTTTATTTTTCGGCAGAAATACTGCATATACGAGCAAAATCAGAGTAAATATTGTTACCTTCAGGAAAAACTTATAATTGTTTATTTTATTTAATATTTTATATAAATATTAATGTACTTTTATCTCAAGACTTGGTCTTTCACTCTATGGGAAGAACAAAGGCTTTTTGGCTTGTTCCAGTTTAGAGCAGTTTCTGAAACTCTGAATCACTTTAGAATCAGTTTTCGAAATATACACAATGCGAGGTCCTAAATATCCCAGTTTTAATAAATGTTAAATATCAAATAGCTACTTGTGCACAGCGGTTTTTTGTTTCAGTAAAATAATTGTGGAAAATTTGTTGAGATAAAATTCGCATTTGTGTGTTTCCTTTGGTAAAATAGAGAAACGAAAAACAAATCTTAAGGTTAAGCTTGAAATTAGTAAAAGTAGGCGATTTTGAATTTCCCCATCCACGTGCCTGCACGCAAGAAAATTTGCCTCAATTTTAAGCGGACGTTTCCAGACACTGAGTTTCACATTACTGCTTTAAAATATGGGACTACTTGGACGGGTGACGAACCCGTTATAATTCTCTACCTACACTAGACAGCAAAATAAATATCGACGCAGGCAGACATCCATGACTCGAGTAGGATTCGAACCCAGTATTCCGAAGTTCGTCACTGTTATAGGCGTTTATAACTGCAAGTGTCTGAATACCAGAAAATGTTCCTTCTGAATCACGTAGATTTGAATCCTTAAAACTCTCTGCAATTTTCAATTTAAAAATTTCAAATCACGCATTAGCAAACCGAAGGGAAGACCGCGAAATAGACGATTCCCCATTATCCATCTTCAGAATGAAAGCGTTTCTTGCCTGTGTCGTAAAATTACGGAATGAACACTTTTATAAATAAATTTAAGCTTGTGCCAGGTGCTTAGACAAGTACCTCACCAAACAGACGTGTTCTGCTCTATCTCGGCATTATATGAATAAGAGCTTTATGTTTCGCACATCTGACATTTAAAAATTAGGCGACGTGAATGTAAACAAATTATATTAAAATCGTTATTACATTATATTATATGATAATATTATTTAACGTATTATACAACTCATAAGTGTATGTAAGTGTAACCTAAGCGTACCAGTGTATATATATCGTCAGACTGAAACACATTACTGCAGCTAATTACCCTTCCATTCCACCAACATTTCGCTCTAAAAGATATTAAGTCGTGTGATGAGCAAAACTGACATTTAGTTTCATCTACACACTAATTTTAGCTTTTCAATTGGAAAGCCAACGTTGATCCTTTACGAAATGTTTGATGCCCGTTTTCTGTTTCACGTTTAATTTTCAATTCATTTAAGCGTTTATATTAAATTAGCTCTTTGTATTACATAAATGTTACCACATTAAAGTTCACGTCTGGTGAAAGGAATGAGTAGTCTGACAGTCTGTCGCTTTCAAAATGTGATTTCCATTAAGCTTAAAACAGGTTGGCATTAAGAGATGCCTAGGTAATAGAATGCTCCCTCTCGTAGCAAGAAGTAGTGCTCCACGCCCAATGACGAAGGATGGTTTTGGTTCCTACTGAAATCCTATCATCATGGTGCAGTGTCTGCCAAGCCGGGTAAATGTGTGGCCCTACTAAGCAACGTCTGCCGTAAACACGATCATTGGAGAGTTGCCCAGTCAATTCTCATTGTCTGTGGTCTTCTATTCACTTAAGCACACAGATTAATGTAGCATTATCCGCTCAGGTTAGTGATATAAGCGGTAGGCATCCTCTTAGCATTAGGGAGGTCTTAGTTTCATTGTAGGACGTGTGTTAAGATCGCTTTGTCTGGGTGGACGCGCCACGTTCATCTTCCTCGACGTAGTTAATTTTCCTGATTAAAGAACTGCATCGCCAGTCTGACTTCTATGCTGCTTTGACGTAAAAATTAAAAGCTAAACGGATTTACGCGAAACTCACGTACGGTGTGCAGAACAAGTGGTGGCAAGTCTTCTGTACACATCACCACACCTAAATTAATTCAGATACTTTGTAAATAATACCCTCATATTTGCACATGGGTTTATCAAGTCATTAATCGCTTTCCTTCAAGTTATCCTACTAAAATTTTGTATGCATTTAAGGTTCCGTCTAGCTGTAAATTCATAGGTTATAGTTTATTGGCGAAGAAGATAATTTTAATAAATAAGTTCTAATTATTGTCGTGTTGGACCTATGAGTTTAAAGGGGTCTTTAAAGGGGTTTTATTTCCATAAGATTTCCGATTCACTTTCTGACTGAAGATGACTGTCTCGAGGGTTCTTGGGAAATGTAGTCTTGATCATCATATACATTGTAAAACTTCTTGGTCTTATCCTGAAACAAATTTGTACCACACGGTGATCGGTAAAACATACGTTTTCTTAGGAGCACTAGGAAAATATGTTCTGTACATTCTGAGAACCAGATTAAGGCTATAAACTCTATACTGGGTTAAGAGATAATTCTTTTCAGTACAGATCTCGAAAGTAGAGTACGGATTGAATTTATGTGATGTGTGCTTAAGAACACGTCCAGAATTAATCTACAGGTATACAGGCATGGCTTTCTCATTCTCTTGTTGTCACAGCCTAATCAAATCTACATGGATTCGGCGTGTTTGTGCCACCGTGCTAACCAGTTAATCTAGGATTAGTTCCTCCGACACCCCTCCTCTTCGAAACGAGGTTCTGTCTGTAGTGATGTCATAATTCCACAACACTGTTCATAAACAAATTCCGAAATACATTCACTCACAATGGTTTGTCCGTTAATAGTAAAAAAAGCATTCGTGAAGTTATTAATCCAGTCCCCAAAACTTAAGTTTGTGCCCGCAACGTTCAATATCGTTGTTGAGTTGTTATCACTCACACACACATTAATTCCGTTGGTTACAATTCTGGTGCAACAACAAACTAAATACCAAAGGAAACCATTTGAAATACACGTAAATTAATTTATTACAGAATTATTAGTCTTATTTTGTTTCAAGAAACAAATTCTGTCTGATAAAGTGAAACCTACTTCTGCCTGAAGGTACAATATATAGGAACGCTAAAGGTGATGGTCTTCTGGAATGTTGAGTCGTGTAGTTCGGTAGACGTTGACTCATCAGTTTGGTGATGTAGGCAGTAGGCGCCTCTGGAACATCGGGAAACTTCTACCAGTTTATTCGGCGCAACCTCGTACAACACAATCACCTGGACCAGAACCTGAAATATCGGCTACATTAATGCTGTATTGGCTATTCGGAAGTCCTTAGAGTTTCAATATTATCATCCCATCTACACCTATACAGGGAAGCTAGAGGATCGATTATGTGGTGACTTCCATATGATCTTGATCTTTACATGACCTCATTTTGACATGATTATGGTCATCCAGATATTGAAGGTTTAGCAGAAATAAGAGTTAAAATATATGACCATGAGAATTTTAAAGATCTCTCTCTGGTACATAACCTAATCTAATTCTACACTGATATGAACTGACCTAAACTAAACTAAACTAATCTAAACTAATCCAACTTAACCCAAAGCACCCTAACATAAAGTAACATAACCCTACCCAACCTAACGTAATCTATCCCAACACAATGTAGGCACTGAGTATATATTGCGACCTATATATGACCTTGACTTATCCATGATATCTAAATGTTGTCTGCAATGTCACCCAGATTCGTACTGTACTCTATGTACACATAGAACGAGACTGCTTCACTTACGAAATATTCTAATCTTGTATTTCTCACGGGCTTATTAAAGTTTCCTAAGAAATTAATTAAATACGTCAGATGCAATGCTTGCATAAAGTAAGTATTTGAGAACAACACACATTAATACCACTAGGTTTAGTGATCTGTGTTATTTCCTTAAGATCTACACCTGTGATAATTGCCTGTACTTACTTTAATTCAACTCCATTTGTCATAAAGCAGTGACACTCGGCTTACTGAAACCAACCGTGTGGAACGATAACAAATAAACATAGATTCTACAAATCAACAAACCATAAATGTCAGAGTTCTTTTTGAATAAAATACTCAATATTTTGTTTCTGTTATAGAGTTATTTGAATACGAATAAATGTACTGTGTATTGAAGGGCGCACACAAATCACTGATTCGCATGAATAATATTTGCATGGCAATTTACATATGATACTCTATAAACTCCTACCATCAGCAGAGATGCACGTTCCTTAAAAAACCCATTAATAAATAAAAAAATTACAACTTAATAAATAAACTAAACATCAATGACACATATTTTAACTGGATTCTACTATAGTCATTTTGAAGATGGCTGTCTTTTGAAATTTTGCACCGTATGGTCTGGAAGAAGTTCAGGGACGTTTCAGAGATGCCTCCATCATTTTTAGAAGTTTACCTATGAAACATCAGTAAACTTCTACCAGACTAAATGCCACAACATCCAACAAATAATCATCTCCACACTGGCCACCATGAAAATCAGAAGACTGGTCTATTGTCTATGTGTAAATGTAGATCAAAATGAGCTCGGCATGCATTCTTTGCTTACTGATAACTAAAATCAAGGACTAAATATCACTTGAGAGCAAACTGTTTGCTACTATCGATTGATTAAAACATACGAATGTGTTGTTTCTTTTTTACTGAAACTGCCTCAACTGTACCCATTACGTAGCGTGGAAAGAAAGCGAGGTTATAATGTACAGTGAATGAAAGAGTCATGGCTTACTTCTTACAAGCTTTCCCAGGACTTGTCTTTATAAACTGAAGATAACAGCATTTACCTTTACGCAGCACTCACTCGGCACAAATTGACTAAAATTGAACCACAGTCACAGCACGTCAATATCTGACATTTAGCTACAGCACGACCAGGTATCAGCAGATTGGCCAATCATACAACAATATACTCAAATATTAAATTTACCTTTCGAATCTTTGTATAATTTATATAGACAGATGGCGACAGTAGTAATTTCATTTTAGTTTTACAGACAACGTCGATCAATAATATTGCATTGGTTTAAACATGTTTTTTTATTCCGCAAATTATTTTTTATTTACAAGACTGTAGCGTAATAATAATTTTTTCTCAAACCGTGCAGATTAAAATAATAACGGTCTGCAAGGCTTTCTCTTTGTAAAAATGCAGACAGTGGGACAACAAACAGTTCTGCTCTTATTAAAAGCAAACCTCTGACAACACAGTTTTTTGCAGATTTTTACTAATGAATGATATGAAAATTTTCCATAGACAGTTGCTGATATGTCAGTATTTACTGTCTACTCTCCGTATTTCCTTCCGGGTTTCCCATATGAAATGTGATAAAATAATTCTAAAATTATGGTTTTCATGGTGAAATGAGCACAAAGACAAATTTCATACACCACGAGGAAATATAAGGTATATATTCGTAGTGTAGTAGATGGGGTATTTTTATTACAGGCAATTTTTTCGTTTTATGTTCATTAGTCATTGGTCTCCTTGCATTTGATGTGCATAGACTTTTGGTAACGTTAAATAAACCCTTCGCATTCCGATTTTTCAGCTACACCACGACATCCCAGCACTTTTCTGAAACAGAGTTTCAGCCTTCATAAAATTGAGTTATGTGTGTTTTGTGCTTCAAGAGCCACGAAGAGAAGCAAGGTAACTCGATTATATTGCATTTTACCGCTATTATAAAAGTTCATAATGTTTCCTTGCTAATGAATATAAATGTAATTACAATTAGTCTAAAGATAAAGCCATATATCAAACCATGTAATGTATCGTGAAGAATAAGATAAGAATGACAATGTACACCAAAAAGCATACTACATTTTTATATCTTTTTTGAGGTAGTACTCCGATAATTGCCTTGAGGGACTGATAAAGACCACGAAAATGCCTCACAAGTATCGCCAGTCTCCGGATCGAGATTTGAACACGATGAATATCATTTTATTCACCACTAATAGAAATCTTTACAACTTTGACCTATACATTTGTGGTCAGTCACTATACTGACTGAGCTACTTAAACGTAATATCTCAGTAATAAATCCCCCTTTTATTCCTTTGAGTTTTACAATAAGTGTTTTACACATAACAGAGCATTGAATGAACACCTATTCTCAATTATTTTGTTTAAACCAAACTTCCAATTTATCGTCCATTAGCTTCCTAAAATTAATATTTTATTCTATGCAGCACCATTAAATATCTAGAGATGTGTACTGAATTATCTGAGGTATAAGTTAAATTATTTCTCCATAAAACTGTACATAAAAGAAATAGCAGTGAATTACGCTTTGTAACAACTATGCCTTCCGACTGAAATTAGGACATGTTGAAAAACTGACTACTTACTACGCTCTTTATCAACAAGCAGAATTTAAATACTTTTATTTGTCAAATTCATGTTTGAAGAGAAGAATTTACCATAGTATCTGCTCTTTTATTACGAAGAAAACGTAGTCTCTCACAGTAAAAGAAGAAAACATTTTGTCGATATTTGAAAACCAAGTGCTGAGGAAGTTGTCTGAAACTAAGAGAGAAGAAATTTCAAGACAATAGAAAGACTCACACGATTAGAAGCTCCATAATGTGTAGGAATGCTCTTCACTATGTATCGACAGGGTAATAAAATCTAGTCAGATTAAGAGGCGATATATGCAGGAGGTATGGAGGAGAAAAATATTTAAAAAGGGGCCACATGGAAAATCTAAGAGCAGGTGGCAGGATAATATTAAAATTAATCTTAAATAAATAGGGTATGAAGTTCTAGATTTGGTTCAAATGGCTCAGGAAAGTTTAATGGTATGTAAAATTTTGTGAACACTGTAATGGACATTCAGGTCTGGTAAAAATCGTTACCTTTCCCAACTGAATCACTACCATATTCTGTAGATGGAATCTGCAATTTGTGAGCGTTGTTCCTTCCGACAACATTTGATTTTATCCAGTAGCCACAGAATAAGTTTTTAATCTTGTACATAAATTCTACCTCGTAGAGCATTTCTTCAATAACTTCATTTTCTAGCAGACAAAGAACTGTGATGCGTAATGGTGTAGTTATCTCTCGCAAGTCCATTCTTACCTCCCTGACACACCACGCCTCTGCCATGTCTCCTGGAAACCAGCGACCATCATTCTCCATCTCACTCTGTGATGGCGGCTTGCTCGGTGATTGATCACCAGTCCATTGAGTGACAGCTAGCCATCCCATGCGACCTCATCGCTCGACCTCCCATTATAAGCTCAATAATAACCCCCTGTGTCGGCGATCATGTTCGTAAGTCCATCTAAACCTTATCAGTGTTGGCATGCTTCCTTCTTCGCTCAGCCTGTTTTCGCCCACCCACTTCCAGGATGACTGATGTCTCGGCAGACATGTCCGTCCGTCCGTTCGTATTACAACACGACCATAAGGTTCGCTCCAATAAGATCGTTACAGCTCACAAACTCGTCCAATATGAAATAGATACAACGTCAGATAAAAGTAGAAGGAAGTAATCAAGGCATCAGATATCGATTAAAGTTGGTGAGTGTTGCGAGGGATCGTATACAGAAATGAAGTTTAATTTATTTCCAATTATAATATTAAACCACTCACTGTTGTTCCTTGATTGAAGTTCGCGGCTCCTGTAACTTCTGATAATTTTGAAACACTACGAGTTTTCACGCAAGGGATCTTGACAGTGCCCCTCGTTACCACTATTTTCGAATATTAACTCTTGAAGTGCGGACTTCTGGAAAGAATTGTAACGAGATTCTAGGCCTGGAGTCGTATTTACTTCGCGAAAGCTGGTTATTTGTCCTGCATAAAGCAGAAACCTTATTTTAGACTGAATATCGCGTGACTTCCAAACACAAATCTATCAGCAAATAAAAATATTCAAATGAATTACGCTAAAATACTCCAAATTTGCTGTCCTGTACATTAATTATACCAACTTCAACTCACACAAATATCTCAACAACACGTGAATTATGCTACACTTTAAAATCTGTGTACGATTTAGAAAAAATTATATCCCTAAAGCAGAGTGCACGTATTCTGAAGGAACGTAGTTGCATAATGTGACAGAGAACATGAAATTATGCACTTTGTTTCTGTATCAGTAACAACTTACACATTCGTTGTTTACATTAGAGTTTTTATTTACAGCAGAATGCTCATGCGCAACGCCACATAAGGCACCCAAGTTATAAGTTTGAAAGCCCTGTGCACACTGAAGCGTTTATAATAGACTTAGTTATCTTATAATCGTTATTTGAGCTTTAATAGCTTTGGAGAAATCCCATCACAACAACGGAGCTCGGAACTTTCGAAGTGTCAGTTATTTTAAAGAACCTCTGTCATTTCTCGCTAAGTGGGCGTTTAATTAAAATAACATTTTGTTGACACGCTATGCAACTAGAGGTGTTGATTCTTAATGCCTCTTTTATTCAGCTGTTCATTAATGTAGCTATTAATTCTATTTTACAAGTTCTTTTAGTAAAACAAAGATGATAAGCTACATGATACTTTTATTGTCCGCTGGGAAAATACGTGGAATGTAGAAACCTTTAAAGAACTCTGAAATATCTGTGTTTAAACAAACTTTCCTTGAACTGCAAGAAATTCCTTTTCTTCTCTTCAGTAACAAACGAAGGCAGGCCTACATTCAGTCTAGGATATACAGAATACTCCGCGAGCAGTAGTTGTCAGTAGCCTCGGGTTACAAACCATAATATGCAAACTTCTCTTGTCTTAATATTAATTTCGCCGTATTTACATAAACAAATTAAGTAAATTTAAATTTCAGAAGGTGTTTAATTAAACACACCAGTGCTTTCGCCATGTTTAGATCCAACTGTTTAAAATAAGGCTCTCCATACTTCTAATTAATAACGATAAACATTAACTCAGCTCAATTTGTCTGAATCGCTTACGGAAGTACCATGGATCTAACTCCGGTATCAAATAAAATGCCATTCCTTCTACCAATTCCTCCTAAAAATACAACGCTTTCATTTTAAATTAAAAAAGATCATTACTTCAGCATTCTTTTAAATCTACACTAAAGCATCTCCATAAACCCCGCAACAAGTGTGTAGAAATTGAAGTCTATGCGTAAGAGCGTTACTATGTATTATACAAAGTTTTTCAACAGGACTTGAAACGTCTCTATTGTAAAAATATGCAGTTACTAAGTCAGTAAGTTTTTTTAAAACTCGTTTATTAGAGAAAGAACCAAAGTTATTAAGTGTCCAGCGTTATAATTTAAAAGAATTGAAAACGGGATATAACTACAAGGCAGAGAACTTTAATTACAGAGCGTAAGAACAAGCAAGAACGTTGGTACTTCAAACATCAAGATAACCTGCTGAGTAAATTAATTGGGATTAGGTCTCGCCACGTTACGTCGCGTGCGACCGACCATCCACCGCCCACGCAGCGGACTGTCGGGACAGAACTCACTACCTCGCTGTGCGTACCTCCTATCTTGGAATGACGAGATGGGTTCTCTTTGATGTCTCTTATAGAAAGCAGCTTTGTTTGTTTCAAAATTTTAAGTCATGAAGGGGCCTTGGACGCATCAGTCAAAATTATTTCCGGAAACAACATGACTAAGATATGAGTGGCCATTACTTGTATCTCAGTACACATCTGCCTAACTTCACACGCATTAAAATGGGTTTCAAATGTCACTGTCCTTCAGTGTGTTATGTGGCTGAAATTAAATGTATAATC